TCCCAGCACTTTGGGAGACTGAGGCAGGCGGATCACCTGAGGTCAGGATTTTGAGACCTGCCCGACCAATATGACGAAACTCCATCTCTACTAAAAATACAAAATTTAGCCAAGCATTGTGGCATATGCCTATAATCCCAGCTACTCGGGAAGCTGAGACAGGAGAATCGCTTGGACCCGGGAGGAGAAGTTGCAGTGAGCTGAGATCATGCCATTGCACTCCAGCCTGGGCAACAAGAGCGAAACTCCATCTCAAAAGAAAAAAAAGAAAGAAAGAAAGAAGAGAAACAGAGAGAAGAATGGTAGGTTTCAGGAGCAGGAAGGAGAAGAAAATGGAAAGTAGTAGGTCAAGGAGAAGAAAATTGCAGTTTTATAGGATAAACTAGTCTAGAGATCTAATATACAGCATAAGAACTGTAGTTAATAATATTGTGTTGCATATAAAAATTTATTGAGGGTAGATTTCAGGTGCTCTCACCACCACCACCACCACCACCACCACCCCCCACACACGTGAGTAATTACAGCAAGTCATAGATAGTAATTTGCTGGACTTGTGGCCATATCATTATGCATACATACATGAAAACACCATGTTGCACATCGTAAATATACACAATAGACATTTTATTGGACTATTTCATAGAATTTTTTTTCACTTCCATATTGAGAAATAGGATAAAATCCCCTGAAGCTAAATATATAAAGCAGAGTTTTAAATATTTAATTTTAAATATTTAGTGTAATAATTAGAGGACAATTATAGTCAAATGAAAACACAGTTACAAATTTTTCCTTAAAAATATTTAAAAAGCATTTAACTTTAGGCAGCAGTGAAGAATAGAGAGACCCTAGGACTATTATTTTTGTCACACTTGTTGTCATCTTTGGTATGGTGAGCACGCATACTACAAAACTGATATTGCAACATCAAAATGTGCATTTTGTGTATTGCTTAGAGAAGAACGAGTCTGTCTTTACAATTAATTAGCCAGAGGAGATCCCACCCCCACTGCAGCAAAATACAGTGAGAGAGATTCTACGCTATTAGACACTCAGCTCTCCTGCATTTTATACTTTCATCCCATTTGATTAGTTTTGGTGAAGCCAAATCTAAGACTCATCTATGAGTACAGAATTTAGAGGAAGGTGATTCTTGTTTACCTCTCATGTTAAAAAATGCTTGGATATTTGATCTCTAAGCATTGAGAAGTGACATTTCACTTAAGTGAAATAAGTTTTGCCTGTCACTAAAATAACTTCATTGTGAGAGGTACTGCATGGAATCTATACCATTTTTGGCCTGTGTTTTAGTGTCTGTTAGCTTCTATTTTGCAAGAAATATACATTCCTCTAATTTAAACAGAAAAGAAATAGTAGCTCATAGAATCTCTGGCAAGATTAGCAAATCATTTTTTTACAGTGGACAGTGGGATTAAGGTGGCCAGTCAACCGTAACGATGGCAAAAATGATGACAGAGGAACAATCTAGTAAGGCTAGTGTGGCTGCATCAGCAGGACACTGGATGACCCTCCTGGTTTTATAGACAATCACCCTGATCACCACCACCACCACAGAAACACTGAGATCATGGGCCTATGCTCCAGCACCAGGGACAGAGAAAAAAGTCTAGACTTTATAGCTTCTCTGAGATCATGAAGAATCACACAGCCGAACATTCCACAAACGTAGAAAGGGTGTTGAAATGCTGTACAGCCAAAAATACACCAGCAAACAATTTTATAGTCTCTTTTTTCTTGCCCATCCAGTATCTGTAAAGGTTGTTCTTCCAATAAACTTTCAAAACACACATCCCCAGTGACATTTTTGTAATTTTCACGTTTATCAAGGATTACACTCACCGCTTCTCTAAACAGATGGGAAAAAATGCATTTGAGTATTTTTTAGAGAAGCGGTTCTCAAAGTGAGGTCCCTGGACATCAGCATAAATATTATGGCAACTTGTTAGAAGTTCAGTCTCAGGACAATTTTGGAGCTATTGAATCAGAAACTTTTCTTCAGAAATCAAGGTAATTATTACTTTTAGAGTTGCTTTAATACAATGGGAAAAATCAACCCAAAGTCTTGTGGTTATTGCATCTAGTTGCAAATCTAGCCTTTTAGTTGATGCTCATTCTTCTTAGAGTTCTGTCATGATTCTGTCTCAGTTGTCTCATCCTGTGGACACAACTAAACAGCTAACTACTACATTCACATCCCATTTCCATCTATATGCAATAAGAGGCTGGGTGCAGTGATTCGTGCCTGTAATTCCAGTTACTTGAGAGGCTGAGGCAGGAGGATTGCTTGAGCTCAGGAGTTGGAGACTGTAGTGAGCCATGATCATGTCACTGCATTCCAGCCTGGGTAACATAATGAGACTCTGTCTCTTAAAACCAAAAATTTAGCCAAGATGATGTCACACACCTGTAGTCCCAGATACTTTGGAGGCTGAGGCTTGAGCCAAGGAGTTTGAGTCCAGCCTGGGCAACATAATGAGATGCATCTCCATTTAAAAAATAATAACAAAGTTTAAGTATATATATGTAATAGGGAGAGAGAAAAGAAATGTAAGATAAACTATAAGAATATATACCTGTTACAGTAAGAAATGAGACAGATTAAAGTCCTTGTTTCAGCATTTTATTATAAAGTTACCTATAACTTCCTTCCACCACCATTCTCCCATATTCCCTTTGCTTTCAGCAAGTATCTCAGCTGTTCAGAATTATTTGCCTTCATTTCTAAGGGATCCGAGCTCTTGCTGTTCCCTCTTGTTTAGTAATCTCGGTGAACCTTTTATACTGAATGTAGATTTGAGGAGGTGATTAAGGTTATTATCTTAGTTTAAGGGCTACTCTTCTTTATCTCCGTATGACAAGAATCTCAGTTCTTTTTTTTTTTTTTGAGACAGAGTCTCACTCTGTCGCCAGATGCCAGGCTGGAGTGCAGTGGCACAATCTTGGCTCACTGCAACCTCCACCTCCCCGGTTCAGGCAATTCTCTTGCCTCAGCCTCCTGAGTAACTGGGACTACAGGCACACGCCACCACGCCCAGCTAATTTTTGTATTTTTAGTAGAGATGGTGTTTCACCATTGTTGGTCAGGATGGTCTCGATCTCTTGACCTCATGATCCACCCGCCTCGGCCTCCCAAAGTGCTGGGATTATGGGCTTGAGCCACCACGCCCAGCCTGAATCTCAGTTCTTTTTTACCGTAAGGATTTTCCACCCCAGCCAACAGCAGACTCATTTTCTGCCCACAGTGCTGTGTTCTATTCAGTGTCATGAGAGGCTCAAGATAGCCAGGTGACAGCTTTAAACTCCATATCTATGTAACTCTTATTTCCCTTGATAGAAGCATTTGCTCTGTAGGGACTGGAACCTCTAAATCCTCAGAGTCCAGCGTGGTGGGGACTACAAGTGGATCATCAAATGTAGTGGTGAGAAGTACTACGTTTTCTCCAGGCTTGGTTTCCTGAGATTCTGGTTGTGGGAGAAATGGCACTGTATACATGTTAGTTGCTGCTCAGCTCATAAGGTGTCCTTCAGGAGAGGATTTCAAACTCACAAAATGTTTTCTAGAAAATGCTACTGCGTCTGAGTCATCAAAAAGCATTCCAGCATTCTATGAGGCTGGATTTTTGTGAATGAAGAAGTATATACAAAGGCCAGTGATGCTCAATTAACTAAGACTACTTTCCAGGTTCCTGAGCTAGCACCTTGAACATACAATGTTTGGGAAACACATTGCATTGGTAAATTCAACCTAATCTAAAATGTTCATTTTTGTCATCTATCACCATAATCTATAATCCATGCATTTGCAAGAGAGTTGCCAATAGAAATTGCTAAAATCTGTAATTCTTGCAATGTAGTAAGCATTGTTTATAAGGGTATGCTAAGGATTGCTTCCACTTTAACCTGGTTACTGTTTGGGAGACAATGAGTTGTGAAGACTATGAATATTTTCTTTAGAAATAGGAGAATTCCTCTGAGTGAGAGTAGGAGGCTCATTTTCCTCAGGAAAGTGGGGCCCCACAAGCTAGAAAGCTGGACTCTAAATCCCCTAAGTACATCCATATAGTCACATTCCAGCATTTGGTATCTTTCTCTTTTAAAATCAGTGCTCAGACTTCCAGTTAAGAGATTCCCAAACATGGATTCAGCCAACCATGGAGTTTGTCAAGTGACAGAAACAAACTTGGCATTTGTTTATAACAACCTCAACCTTTCACTTGCAAGAAATAAGAATTTGTGTGAGGGAAAAGGAGGATGTTAGTCTCAAAGTTTTAGAACATTACTGAATGATAATTCAGAGACTTGAGTCTATTTATATCTATCCATGAGATACCCTTTGCTGTTAGAGGCAGCTACTCTCAACTATCGTTCTTTGAATTTCTCGTTTTTTTCTCTCTCTTAAATCAACAAATACCTTACTCACATGATTTAAGAAATGGATGTATATTATTGTAGTGAATATAGATAAGAAATAGATGTATATTTTTGCCATATACATGTAGATAAGAAATGGATGTATACTATTGGAAAGTGCTTATACTAAACATGAAGTGGCATAATATCACTTATAGGTAGACTGATAATTTAAAAATGTATGCCCTAAAGCAGTCACTAAAATAACAAAGCATACAGCTAACAAGGAAAAAAGTAGATAAGATTTAATAAAAAAATACTCAATCCAAAAGAAGTTAGAACAAGATGAAAAGAATACTTATAACAAGTAGAAAACATATATGCACCTACTAACAAACTTTTGGTATACATAAAGCAGACACTGACAGAACTGCAAGAAGAATTGGACACATTTCTAATTGCAGTGGATTTTTAAACTCCTCTGTCAACAGTTGAAGGAAAAATAGATATAATTGATTAATAGAAGCATATAAGACTGTCAACCAACAACAGCAGATTGTGCATTTTTTTCAGAATTACAGAAAGCATTTAACAGGATAGTTCCTATTCTGGGCCATAAAACTAAACAAGTTTGAAATGGTTCAAATTAAGCAAAATACTTTTCTTTTTTCCTTTCTTTTTTTTTTTAAATAAGCAATATGACTTTATTTAGTTACTTTGAAAACAAAACACCCCAAATAAGGTCTGAACCCAAAGGTACATAAAAATGGCCCAAAATAGTTTAAAATAGATTTGAATGTCATTTGTAGTTTCTTCCTCATAACATGAGTGCTTTCAGCTGGACAGTAGATTATAAAGCATCTCTGATCGTGTTAAGGCAGATGATCAACCTGTGGCTGCATCTGGAACTCCTCCTGGGAAAATGATCCTGTTGGAGTTGGGGGCTCTTCCCAGTTGTTTGGTCAGTTGGTCCAGGAAGGGACAGACCTGGAGCTGGCGGGTGGGGAGCCAGGCCCCATCTGTCTTGTCACTGCTTGTCCTGCTGGCCCTCTGTGACTGACGCTGACATGGAGCCCTGGCCCTTGTTGATGTCACTGATGCATACCCACTGCCCATCAACTGGCTCCTTCCACAGGGTCACCTTATTGTCTCCACCAGAGACCGCCAGGATGTTGGTTGTGATGCAAAAGCTCACATACCACACCACATCGTTGAACTTGTGTATTAATTTTGGGGACCATGTGTTGCCTGAGGCACCATCACAGTTTTACAGGTCCAATGAACACACGGCCGTCCCGGGAGCAGCTGGGGATGGTGCTGGTGGGCAGGCCGACAGAAGGGGCCCAGGCCACGTCTTGAAACCAGGCACTCTGCGCTTCCAGCTTCTGCTCCTCCTTCCACTGACTGTCCTCCTCCTCCTTCCACAGCTTAATGAGGTTGTCACAGCCACCTGATGCAAATTTCTTCATGTAATTGGGTTTCTGCCCCAGTGGCTGGTCTGTGAGGCTTCCAGGTACAACAGCTGGGGCCCAGCTGATGGTATTTCAGCCAATGGTGTGAGCATTGTTGATCTTCTTTACTTACTGTTGGCCTTCCACTGTGTAAGTCAGCAGGGAGATGGCCCCAGCCAAGCTCCCACAGGCCAGGATCAGGCTGTAGTCATGGGGGGCCCAGCACACTGAGTTCACTGAGGAGTCGAGTCCCGCATGATTGTGGCTCTTCTCCCAGGTGCCATTTTTTTCTCTCCAGATAATGACTTTCTGGTCACAGGATGCCAGGACGCTGGGTGAGCCCAGGCCACTTGCCACACAGGACCCTCATGACCTCTGAGGTCGGCGATGAGGATCTGCCCTCCACTACGCACGCCAAAGATTCTGACAGACATGTCTGATGAGCAGATGGCCAGGCAGGTGCCACAGTAGTCCATCTGGGCATCGTGAATCATGTCCTCATGGGAGGTATCCACAGTGTTAATACCGACACCATGATTGAGGCGGTGGTTGCTCTGGGTCTCCCACGTGGCAGCCCAAAATAATTTTCTGAGCACAGTGAAATTAAGTTAGAAATCAGTAACAGGAAGATATCTGAAAAATTCCCAATTATTTGAAAATTTTAAAATAACATATTTTAAACAGCCTATGACTCAGAGAGGAAATCTAAGGAGAAATCAGGAAATGTTTTAAACTCAAGTGAAAATACAACATACAAAACTGTATGGAATACCAGTAAAGTAGTATTTAAGGGGGAAATTTTTTGCACTAAAAGCCTACGTATTAGAAAAGAGAAAAAGATCTCAAATCAATAACTTTATATTTTATCCTAAGAACTAGAAAAAGAATAGGAATACAACCTGAAGTACGCAGAATCACAGAGGTAAATAATCTTAGCAAAATTCAGTCATACAGAAAACAAAAACAATTGAGATCAATAAACCCAAAACGTACTGGCTTCCAGGCCTGAGAAGATAAATAAACTTGATAAACCACTACTCAGACTGATAAGGAATGAAGAGATGACACAAATTACCAATATCAGGAATGAATAAGGTGATATGGCTGTAGATTTTACAGATATTAAAAGAATAGTAAGGAAGTATTTTGAAGAACTTTATGCCAATGTATCAGATAATTTAAGTAAAATAGAAAAAAAGCTCTAGAAAGTAATTTCAGGCAAAGCCCTCTAGAAACACACCCATAATTAACTTGGATTTGCTATAACATTTTTTTTTTTTTTAGATAGGGTTTCTCTGTCACTCAGGCTGGAGTGCAGTGGTGTGATCTCAGGCTCACTGCAGACTCTGCCTTCTGGGTTCAAGCGATTTTCCTGCCTCAGCCTTACAGGTGCCCAACACCATGCCTGGTTAACTTTTGTATTTTTAGTGGAGATGGGGTTTCACCATGTTGGCCAGGCTGGTCTCAAACTCCTGACCTCAAGTGATCTGCCCACCTTGGCCTCCCAAAGTGCTGCAACTGCAGGCATGAGCCACTGCACCAGGTCAGCTACAAGAAGAGCACATACCAAGAGAAACTGATGGGTGTCTTAGTAATAGGATGTTAATAGGAACCTATTATAGGACCTAACCTTTGGTTGGGAGTTGAGTGAATGTCTGAAAAAGAAAGGGTTTGCTTTAATTGGATGCTGTTTCAAAACAGGCAGATGGTCCAACCATTTCATTCTTAGGTATCACCCAAGAGAAACAAAAGCATATGTCCATATAAAGACTTGTATATATGAGTGTTCACAGCAGCTTTTTAAAAAATTATACCTTCAAGCTGGGCACGGTGGCTCACACCACCTCACACTTTGAGAGGCTGAGGTGGGCGGATCACCTGAGGTCAGGAATTCGAGGCCAGCCTGGCCAACATGGTGAAACCTGTCTCCATTAAAAATTAGCAGGGCATGGTGGTGCATGCTTGTAATCCCAGATACTTGGGAGCCTGAGGCAGGAGAATTGCTTGAACTCGGGAGGTGGAGGTTGCAGTGAGCTGAGATTATGCCACTGTACTCCAGCGTGGGTGACAGAGTGAAACTCTGTCTCAAAACAAACACAAACACACACAAATAATACCCTCCAACTGGAAACAACAAAGATTTCCATGAACAAGTACTATAAAAGGTTAAACAAACTATGATATAGTCACTCGATCAAACACTATTTTGCAATAAAAATGTATGCATATAACAAGAATAAATCTCATAACAAATATTGAGTGAAAGAAGCCAGGCAAAAACAAGTGTATACTCTATGACTCCTTTATATAAAAGTCTAAACAATGCAAACTTATCTATAGTAACAGAAAGCAGACCAGAGATTTCTTGGAGAGGAGCATCAGGGAAGGTCAGAAGGGTGAGATGACAAAGTGGCATAAAGAGGCCTAGCACAATAGCTCGTGCCTGTAATTCCAGCATTGTGGGAGGCTAAGGCAGGAGGATTACTTGCACCCAGGAGTTTGAGAACAGCCTGGGCAACATGATACGACCCCGTCTTAAACAAAACAAAACAAAACAAAAAGTGGCACAAGGAAGTTTTTAGGCGATTGATGTCCATTATTTTGATCATGGTGGTGGTCTTACACGCAGATACGTATTTATGTCAAAACTTCTCAAATTGTGCAGTTTATTGTATGTCACTTATACCTCAACAAAGCTATTTAGAAAAAAGGAAAGAAGGTCGTTGACTTTCTTAAGCTTCATGCAGTCATTTGGACCAGAAGAAAATAGACTCATCTAAGATTCTCCTTCCTCTATGGATGCTCATTGTAATCGCTGGATTAGCACAGAGATATTTTTAAAACATTGTATTTAAGAAATTGGGAAAGTAGAAAATGCTTCTCTTTTTTTTGGAGTTGAATAATGAGAACATTGGGACACATGGAGGGGACCATCATACACAGGGCCTGTAGGTGGGTGGGGACTAGGGGAGGGATAGCATTAGGAGAAATATCTGATGTAATGAGAGGTTGATGGGTGAAGCAAAACACCATGGCACGTGTATACCTACGTAACAAACCTCCATGTTCTGTACATGTATCCCAGAACTTAAAGTATGATAAGGAAAAAAATAAGGACAAAAAAAAAAGAAAAAGAAAAAGAAAATGGTTCTTGTTAGAACAGATTACATACCCTTGTTGTTTTTTATAATAGCCTGTGCTAAAAGAATATTTACACAAGGTGGCAGTAATGTATCAGTATCATCCTCAGAAATTAAAACTTTTCCTATACAGTAATACAGTGGACCTTTCTGAACTCACTCTAACACATAAAATACAGCAATTTGACTTAATAATTAGTCTTTAAAATTACTAAATGCCTAGTGCAGTTAAACATACTCTTAACTGTTTAAGAGCGTGTTGCTGAATTTTTTTACTGTCATTACTAAATAATCTGTGCGGCAAAATGTGTGTCAGCACTTTTCCCTCCCTTTTTATCTCCCATCTTCAGGAGTCCCTTTTAATCTCCTATTTTCTGGATCCTGATTCTAAGCTCTCCAATGCAATTTTCCACCCAGTTTGCCCTTGCATTTATTTATCTGGATTAATGTCTGACTGTCCCAAAGAATAAAAGCTTTATCACAGCAGAAACTTGGTTCAAAAAAAAATTAACAACTATATTTTCAGGATCCATGACACTGTCCAGCATATCGGTGGTATCTGATAAAAAATGTTTGTTGAATGAATGAACAAATATATTATTTACAATGTCATATTATCCTGAACTAACCATAAAATTAAATATCTGATATCAGTATCAGCAACATTGTGAAGTAAATATAATACTGTATCAAAATTATATTTATAGAAATTCCTGCTATAAATTGTTATAGCAGGAATAGAAAACTGATACAACTATGAGATACTCATTTTAGAAAATATTTTCTTATAGAGTTGAAATTGTTTAATCTCCATCAACTAGTTGTACATCTGCAAGTTGTGTATCTTAGGGTTAAGCAGAAAATTGCCCCCACTAAAGACAGTCACATCCCAGTCTTCAGCTAAGATGAACATGCTAACTTAGATGCTGAAAGAGATTTTGCAGATGTGATTACAATTAAGAGCATTGAGTTGGGAAAATTACCTTGAATTATCTTGGTAAATCCAATCTAATCTCATAATTCCTTGAGAGCAGAGAATTTTTTCTAGATGCAGAGATTCAGACAGATGGCAGTATGAGAAAGACGTGACCTGCCATTACTGACTTTGAAAACAGTAGAAGGGGGCCACAAGCCAAGGAAAGCCAGTGACCCTGAGAAGCTAGGAATGACCCAAAGTTTACAACCAGGAAGAAACCCAGGATCTCAATCCTACAACCACAAGGCACTGAATACTTCCAACAACCCAAATTCTCTCCTAGAGCCTTCAGAAAGAAATGCAGCCTGACAACATCTTGATGTTAGTTCAGTAAGAGCCCTACCAGATTTCTAAACGAAACAACTCTAAGATAGTGTTTGTGTGCGTTTTCTTAAACAGACTCAAAGCTTACAAAAATTTGTGTTCTTTTAAGCCACTAAGTTTGTGGTAAATTGCTATAGCAGGGATAGAAAACTGATACAACCCTAGAGAAAGTCTTTTACATGTGCTCTATAAATATACAGCAGAATGTTTTTAATTTATTTTTATTGAGGTAAATATACATATATAATTTACCATCTGTAGCATTTATAGAGGACCATTTAGTGGTAATAAATGCATTTATATTTGTTTCTCTTCGTCACCTCTTCCAACTCCCCTTACTAACATCTAGTAACCACCAATTTACTTAATATCTTCAAGAGATCCACTTTTTAAACTCCCTTGTATGAGTGAGAACATGCCATATTTGCCTTTCTGTCATTTCACTTAACATAACAGCCTATGTTCATTACGTTAAGCAAAACAGCCAGCGCCTCCTATGTTGCTGTAAATGACAGGATTTTTACTCTTTTTTGTACCTGAACAGTATTCCGTTATGTATATATACAACTTTTAAAATCCATTCATTTGTTGATGAGTACTTAGGTTGATTCCATATTTTAGCTATTGCAAATAGTGCTGCAGTAAACATGGGCAAGTAGAGATGTCTTTGATATGTTGCTTTCCTTTATTTTGGATATCTATCTAGTAGCAAAACTGCTGGATCACGTGGTAATTCTATTTTTACTTTTTTGAGAAACCTTTGTATTATTCTCCATAGTGGCTTTTTAAATGTAGATTAAATGTACTACCACCAACAATGTACTAGTGCTCTCCTTTCTCCACATCCTTGCCAGCATCTATTATTGCCTGTTTTTTTTGATACAACCCGTTCAACCAAGGTGAGATGATATTGCATTGTGGTTTGGATTTACATTGCTTTGATGATTACTGATATTGAACATTTTTAAATCTACCTATTGGCCATTTGTATGCCTTCTTTTATTATTTTTTTAAATTTTTTATTGAATTTTAGGTTTTGGGGTACATGAGCAGAGCATGCAAGACAGTTGCGTAGATA